CAAAAATAATATATGGCATACACATGTTTTAAACATAGATAAAAATAAAAACGATAAAGCATGTTTGGTGAATTTTTAAAAAGCGTGGCCAAATGATGGAGGACAGGAGAGAAAAGAGAATAAAATTTTATAAGAAAATTACATTAGCAGTTCTTTTATTTTGATTTTTGTATAATTCTGGTCTCTCGAGTTTCAATTAACTTGATTTTAATATTATATTTTAATTTTGTACCTATTTGGTCTAATTATTTAACACTCCCTAGAATTTTTGACAGAAAAAAAGATCACACAAGCAACCGATAAGTATTTTCTTAGGGCATGATGGACATTTCATTAGTCTCTCACTCTTCTATCTTCTTCTTCAAAAATCACAAACGTGGGAAACATGTTGAATAATTGGGCCGCTCAATAACACATAATTAGGTGGCCTAAATGTCTCCTGTCGTTTCACATTTTTCAATCATTGCATTACCCATTTTTCATATAATGGCAAATACTTGTTGTACCATATGGCATAATTACATGAACAAATTGGTGTCTAATTGTTACCATTTTCATAATAACGTTTCATTTTTTGTAATCATATTTCTTCCACCAAAGTACATTTATCATGTCTCGACATCCAATTTATACAATTATATAGATTAAATTAAAAATGAAAAGATTGAGAATTTACAACAAATGGACTTTCTATGTACCAAAAAATAAAGAGATTTTATATACTGATTAAATTTTTACGACAATGCTACGTAACTCAAATTTTGTGGCTCAAACAAAAAAATAGACTTCAAAATGGACCAAAAAACGACGTCGGTTTTTAGTACAGAAAAACATAAAAAATGGCCAAAACGACATCGTTTTAGAGCACAATATAATGAAGCCAACAATTATGAGTATACAGTGACATATTTACCAAAGATTTTAATATAGCAAACTCATAGTGATCAACTCCATATTGTATTTGTGATTTTGCTTTTTTAGATTGATAATTTTTTTTTTTTTTTTGGCATTTAGTAGAGCTTTTATTTAAAATTTTATTTTTTTATAAAAAATGATAGGGGCCTTTGAATTCTTGAGATCAGAAATAGTCAAAAAAAGATTTAAAAGATTTGAAAAAAAAAGCCAAGGGAAGGACAAAAAATAAAAACAACCAAATATAGTGATTTTTTTGGGAATTTTCTTTTTATAATTTTGTAATTCATCTACATAAGACAAAATGATAAAGTAAAATTTTGATATGCTTGACGGTTTGGAAAAAAAAAATCCACAAAAAAACAATAAAACAACTATGACTTATTTAGGACATTTCCAACACACGCCGAATCACGTTAATGCAAATTATTGTTTGAAATGATATCACATTCAATAATATTCCCTCCCCCTTTTATAGAATTTATTTTAAGGACTAAATACACCCCACCCCTTTGAGATTTGGAAATAATAAAGTTAAGGCCACATTTTTAACTTATAATTATACTAATCTCCTTCTAGATTAAAATAAGTAAAACTAATGCCAACGGTGGGTTAATAAATATATATCTTTATTAGGAACTGAGATGACTACCATTATGTTTTTATTCATATGCTGTATGATTAATGAAAAAAAGATCTATGCGTATTAAATCTAAAGAATGTTCAGTGGTAGTTATGACAGAAATATAAAGTTAATTTAATTTTTATTTTTTTATTTTTTATTTTTTAAGAAATGGTGAGTGTAATTCCTAATTGAACATAATCTTTTCTCGGATAAAAAAAAAAAGAAGAAAAAAAACTCTTTTTAGTTTTTTAAAACTTTTTACATGCTTTATGGTCCTTGTTGTTTTTTTTGTTTGAGGGATGGCTTCCTTTTCGGTCCGCGAATCGGGATGTGGAAGCAGGTACTGCATTGAATCCGTTGGGAGTTCCATTTCACGCGTTCATGTTTCGATAATTCCAAAATCGCTTTTTTTTCCACAATTGTGTAAAACCTCGTTCGAGTACTCTATGCCTGTAAAAAAAAAAAAAAAAAAAAAAAAAATTTCATATTGATTTATTGGGGATTCTATTGGATAAAAAAGCGGCTTAGTTGTAATCCCCAACATCAAAGATTTCTTGCCAAACCGTTTTTATTTTTTCATTGTCATTTAAGTAGGCATTGCAAGCAGTAGGAACTCCTTCAAACAGCATTTGCATTTACGCTGAGAAAGAGAATTCATGTAACTGTTTAGGCAAGATGTGGAAGCAACTGTTTAGTCCAGAGTGTGCAGGAGAGGTTGTTAAATGTTGTTTAGTAGTTTAGTTAGATTAGAGTCCTC